TGAATTTACAAAATAATTTTTTTTGACCTCATTCCATGTAAAGTATTAGTTTTTACCGATAGAAACTTATCAAGTCCGTTGAGTTAATTAACCTTACCGTAATTTTATGTATTTATGTTTATTTTTGGTAATAAATATCGCATATGCATTTTCTAATTGTCAGTGCATCTTTGGTCGTTTTACGTTTGTTTTATCTCTTCAGGTTCCTTCGCAGACTGATTTATTAAACTGATAATTCTGATTATTAGTTGGTCAAGAGAGTATTGGCATCCTAATGGTTTCCACTTGTGGTTATACTGAGCAACATCTTGGATGAATGTTGTAGTTTCGAGATAAGTAATATGAATGATTTATACTACTGGCTATAATCTTGCCATGTTAGCAAAAAATGGGCACTAGCAGGACATTTTATTTTTGGGTAGTTTTGTTTTCACTATTGAAATCAATCATATTCTAAAATATTGCTAAGAAACTGTGGCTGTAGATAAAAATGACTAACGCTCATAAAAATCCAAGCAATCACTCGTGACTGGCTAGATGCATACCCAATTGCAAACATTCGCACCTGGCTGCACATTCAGTGAAACGTGAACAAAAGTCTGGAGGCTCTAGTTCTACTGGTATCTTGAGAGAATCCATTCATTCTCATTTTAATCAACCCTGGGGGTGATTCTATTATAGAACCTATTTTCTCCAATACAAGACTAATTAGAATGAACTAGAAGAAACAGATGTGCAGGAAAACTTTATGGTAGTTCATTTCTCATGTGAGAACTTCCAGCTGCCATTGTAGTATTCCACTCTCTATCCAATTGAGTTACAAGGCATTCACGGTGATGGCTGCATAAAAAATTCCCTTCTATATCATGGGAATCAGCATTGACCTTACTTTTACAAATACTGTAAATACTCCCAAGTAAAATAAAAATTACAATAAAATAGAAAATTGGGTTTAAAGACTCTAGTCCCATGACTGCTGGAAGTGGGTTTATCTCCCCCGATATTCTTTCCGAACCACATTGAGAAATGACAGTTGACTGACCCTTGTGATCTTGTGATCTTCAACACTCAATATTTTTAGTCTTCATATCGAGTATTGTTCAATAGTGGTATCAGACTCCCGGCCCACTAGGGCCCATTATCTCTCTCTCTCTCTTATCATCTCTCTTTCTTAATCTATTCTATATAATCTCATGTACTCCTCTTCTTCCTTAGAGGAGGATTATGGATCCTAGGGTTTCCTCTCCTGTGTCAACAAGTATCAAATAACAGAAACCTCATTCAAAATGCTGAATGCTTGATTTATTTTAAAGTTTAATTTTTTCATGTCAATGATTAGCAGAACACATGTAGTTTTATTTTCTTAATGTACTACTGTTATTTTATTAATTAAATTATTGTGAGAGATATTTGAAATTGGGTTGAGTTTTATTTGCAATTGGTTATGCCTCATCTTGTCCTGTTAGGATTGAGGACAATTGATTTCTCCCCTGAAATCATATGTATATATAAAAATTCTGATTGTTTACTAGTATTCAACTTATTATTCAGGCTATCCTTGGTGGAAAGGTCCAAGTACCAACTTTGTTGGGGAAGACGGACGTGAAGGTACGATTTCTTGCATTACCTTCAGTTTCTTTTCTTAGTTGCATTCTTTGCTAGTTATTTTATAACTCTATACGGATGCTAAAACACTGAGGAATTTCAACTGTGAAATGTATTTTGACCTTTTTGAGTCTGTGGCATTGTCCAGTGCATTATGAAACAGAAAACATGACTTGTATAAAACATCAACTCCTAGATAAAACAGCCATCTTTACCTTGAGAAATATTTGAGATTAAAGCAGATTATGGCTGACTTATATTGTTTTCGCTTCCATTTAAGCATATGATGGAAAAGTTCTCGACTTATATCGTATCTCAAAGACACACAAACAGGAAGGATTTGTGTGCATCTGTTGTAGTGGCACCAACTAAGAAGGAAATTGAACAGCGGATCTTAGAAGTAAGACTGTGCCTTAGATTATAACTTTTAATCTACTGCGTGAAGTAATATTAAGCCAATGTCATTCCTCTCATTCTTACCACATGTAAAAGGTTGAGATAATACTCACTTTCTTCATGTTTGACTATAATCTCTTTATATGTTTTTGAAAAAATGACTTAAAGTGCTTCATTATCCAGTAAATTTTTTTATTTCCATTAGTAATAGAAATGGGATTGTATCAAACCCCCAGTTGGGTAGTTTTTTTCCTCGAACTCTCGACTAGTTTTTTGAGCTTCTGAACTGGACATTACAATATAGTGTACTTAACATTTTGGATTTTTTATTTCTTCTTTCATGTGCTTTGATTTTTCTTTTCAATGTAAGTTCAGGAGGAAAATGTTCCAATAAGATGGTTACTTCAATTATCTTATTTTCTACTCAGATACTGAAAGGAGTCCAACCGGGGCAGCTGTTGGTCCTTAAAGGGAGAGGTATACTGATGAAGAATTTACATTAAGAGATATGTCAAAATGAACTACGACAGATTTCCTTTTTTTTTCAATATATTTCCTCCGTGTAATGATGAAATCGTACCAGGTTTGCCAAAGCGTCTTGGCTTTGTGGACCATGGTGATCAGTGCGTGCGTTTCTGTGTAAATTTTCCTCTGTAAGATGCTACTTTCCTGGTGTAACAGTTTGTAAACTTTGAATTTCTCCAATTACGACTGTCTGAATTTTTTGTAAATCATATACCCTCATTGTTCTTTATAACGTTTCCATTCGATCCCTTGCATTGTGGAAGAGTGTGTATAGCCAGTGGGGAGTAATATTTTGACCCAGCGGAGTGATTCTGAAGCTTCGTTGATTTATCTAATTGAATGGGCCAAAGTCCATGCTTTTGCATTTATAAAATGGAGTTACCGAAACCTTCTCATCATGAAAAATCAGTGAAATACCATACAAGCGTTCTAACACAACATATTTCAGCCATTCCAACACCGAATAAGCTGCATTTTCTGATTGATTGCCCAGATTCCTTCTTCGTTTTCTCTGATTTTTATTCTCCAGTTCTGGCCTCTTCCTCTGTCGCTAGTTGCTAATCACCACCACAGGAAGGTGATGATCAGAGTCTTGCAGCTGGCCTGCTGCTAGCCCGTTCTTTTATTATCAGGCCAATACATCCATCATTCTTCATCTACAGTGACATTCCCTTTTCCAACCTTTTTTGATTGTTCTTCTTCTATTTCTGAAGCAATGCATACTTGCTCAGTTCTTTCTCACCTTACCCATTCCACTGACGTCCCGTTGGCCATCCCTTGGATATAACATGGGTAGGTCACACGAGTCCCTATGCACCAGATAAGTTGCTATGCTTTGTGTTGCTCTTATCACCATGGTCCAATCACTGGATAGCACTCTTTGTGACACTGGTTATTTTATATTACATCATCATGTGCCGTTTTTTCTCCTTTATGAATTTTAATATTTTTTACATCGCTTTGAGCTGACAGAGGATCAGTTGTTAATGTAGAGTCCATAGCCTTATCCCCTCTGTCTGCAGAGGATCTACCTAGGACAGGCACGTACATACACTCGTTCTCATCCTCACCCGAACTCAGTGCCGATGCATCAGAGCTTCACTGCAGATCTCTATAGAGGCGGCTGCTACCTTGTAGTTTTCTATGCCTCTTTTACACTAGGCCACCAATCAGCTTGAGCATCGGAGGCATCCTCAGTAGTGTCCTTGGGGTCCATTTTTGTGCCTCCTTCAAGGCGCCTCGTTAGGAGATGCTTTCCCAAAAACAAGCAGTGATGGATGAGCTGCTGCTGCTGCTCCACACAGCTCCATTCACCAAACTTCTGGAGCAAGGAATTTAGTGGGTCCCCAGCTCAATTCTATCTAATTATGAAATAAAGACAAATTATGAACGAATAAAACTGTGCATTTATGAGAATCTATACAATTGAAAGTCATATGTTAAGAGAATCATAGTCGTGGTGAGATATAAACATTTCATCTTAAAAGTATTAAATAGAGACAAAACAACTGTCGTATTTTAGTGCTTCTTTGAAGAATTTGGGAGAGGAACATCCACATCCAAATGGGATACCATGGTAGCTGAAGCATTGGGGATACACAGTGGTAAGTTCTCTCGTTGCAATTGTACTGTATGAATAAAAGTCAGTCTGGATTCTCCGACGGTGAAATGGTAGATGCCATGTTTTGAAAATTTGAATTATCCCATATGATATGTTTTTATTGTCAATGGCAGCTGCCAATGAATGCAGATAATTTTATTTGATTCCTAGAGTTTTTTTGTCTGGAGATCCTGGAGTCTGGGGTGCCTTTGAGTTTCCTTGTTGTGCTATGTTTTAACCTGAATATGTTTCTTTGAGTTTCTCTGTTTTCATTAAACTAATTAATTGATTATTTTCACTTCCTGAATCCCGCTCCTCCCCTCTTGCTTTTTTTCTTTCTAACTCACCTTGATCCTGGAATATTTCCATAAGGAGTGAAATGTAACCTATCACTTTGATCATGTTCTCTGAGAAATCAACCCTTCTGTCCCTTTTTATTGGGTAACTAAAGCGATCCCAATGATGCACGTCTACTGACTATTCTTGAAACGAAATTGGCTTCAGCAATTAGACTCAAATTGGCTACTGAAATTGGCATGCGTGAGAGTATAAAAAATTAAGCCTTGTAAAATGATTCGAGTACCCATTGACTCAAATCATGGGAAAAAAAATATTAATTTGATTTCATGATGAAAACCAGAGTTAGTAGACGAAAAAAACAATCACGAGGGCCTTTCTTCCTGATCAAAGAACAAGTAATATCATCATTTATTGTAGCAACCTCCCCCCACTTATAATCTCAAGGAGGGGTGGTGGCAGAAGAAATACAAGGGGATTCCAATATACAATCGAGGAAGGATGTTGAGTGAATGAATATGACACCCACTTCTTCGTATTACATTAATTTTCAGAGGCTAATGCTCAGTCTGTGCCTTCATCTAAATCTGCCCTTCATGGTCATGCTCTGCTTCAAATCAGCTAGCTCTTTAGCTGAGAGGTCCACGTACTGGGCATAGCCCAGCATTTTAAGATCCTCCCATATCTCGTAACAATCATCAATCTCGACCGTCTTGTCCATCTGAAAAGTCAACATGGCCACCTCGAGTTCGATTAGGCCGGAAAAATACCTTACTTGGCAGGAAGTATTGAAAATGGGGGCCGGGGGAGAGAGGCTACCTTCTGTATCTTCAATCGGGCCGCTTTTCTTTCCCTTTCCCTCTGTTTAAGCACTCTTTCAACAGCTTTGGCTTGGGCATTGATCCTCCTCCTCTCTTTTGGATCAAAGGACGAATGAGATCGTTAATGTGGCGTAAATTCAAAGTAGAAAATTCCTTCATGCATTCACGTGATGGGCAAAGCGTTGAACCTTACCTTCCCCTTGCTTTCGTTTCAGATCCTTCAGTTCCCGCTGTAACTTCTCTGGGTCACCTCTCTCACACTGAGGAATGGAGAAGAGAGAAGAGTTGAGAGTCTCAATATGGCGGCTCATCAGAGTTCACTAAAAACGGTGACTGCTCTGTAGTGAAAAGTTACCTTGTGAAGAACTATCTTCTCTTGGGCTCTAAGGATGGTATCTGCAAATCGTCTCTTCAACAGGGCAGCGCGAAGTGCTCTACTGGGAGACAGAAGACTCTCGGATGATGGAGGAATTCGATCACAGGTCTTCAGGGGCCTGTGATTCTTCCCTGAGATTGTTCTGTGCGAAATACATGTCACTTGAGCAAGCTCCCGCTTCGATTTCCTCTGGTCAACAGCACTCATGGACGCACAATCTGGTGCCATAGCTGGCGGATTTTATGAAAAAGTGAGGAATTCTCAGAAGGGAAGAAGATTTTGATCGCAGCCGGAAGTAGGACGGTAAAACAGAGGAAAACGAATGCCTGAACAACGAGCAGGGTGGCTGAGCGTTGGGAAGAAAGATGGTACAGCAGGGATCCACATTACTGAACGGAAAGAAGAGAAACAGAGCAACGAACGGCAGAAAGAACGTACCTGGTCGACCGACGAGAAGAGTGTCGTCTCCGACCCAAGAACCCCCCCTCTCTCTGTCTCTGTCGCTCTCTCTTGCTCTCGCTCTCGCTCTCCCTCTATCTCCCTGTCACTCTCGCTCTGTCTCTCTCCCTCGCTTTCGCTCTCGCTCTCTCTGTGTGCCTCTTACCAGGAGTGGAGAACAGGCGGAGAAGGAAGCGGTCGGCCAGCATTAGAGTGACACCAACGGCCGAGCGCGTGTGGTGAGAGCGGGCGGGAAAGAGGCGGGAAGGGGTCATTTAATCTTTTAAAACGAGTACCCAACGAGCTCTCCGGTCGGCACGTCACTAATGACCGTTGGAGCGGCGGGAAGAAGGCGGACGGCTATTCTTCACTCTCACCCTCTCTCTCCCTCTCTTTCTCTCTCGGTCTCTCTCTCGCTCGCTCTCACTCTCTCTCCCTCTCGCACCCTCTCTCTCTCTGAAAGCCGCCAAGTTTCCCTCATCTCCAACGCTGACGAGGCGAAAGTAGGAAGGGGAGAGAGAGAGAGAGAGTGAGAGGTGCATGGGAAAGGGCTGCTACGGGCCGGGCCTCGCGGGTTTGTCTTGGATGGTGAATTTTCTCGTTCAACACTTTTGAGTTTTAAGGTGCCTCTTCTGATGTCTTGGGCCGGCCACCAGTTGCCGGCCGGCCATGGCGAGGCGCACCCACCGGTCGATCTCAATCTTCCAGGTGCCGGGGCAGGGCGGAAGGACCACCCGGCGGAGGCTTCGCCGCGAGGCGCAGGTGGGGAGGACGAGGTCGACGAACGTTGTGTAGCTGCTCTGCGACGGCCAACTGGGGACTTGTCCTGCGGAGAACTCGCCGAAGTCGAGGTCGATGCTGGGGAGGCGGCACCAACGGCGCCGCCACCGCCGCGAGAGTTGCCCGGTGGCGACGGCGTCCTTGGTGGGGAGGAGAGAGAGGAATCGAGTGCACACCGCGTCAGGGAGGGCGCTCAGCCTGTCGACGGAGGCGTCGTCCGCTGTCGCCATTGGTCCGATGGGAGGGATCGTTTTTTTCCCTCGCCGGCGATTTATATAGCGAGGAGGTCTTGCAGTTGGCGGAAAAGGCGGGAAACAGGTAGCCTTTACCATTCCCAGTCGTTGGTTTCCATTTTGGAAACCCCGAGCGGGAAATCTTTATATACATAATTTTCCATAATTATTTCAGGTTTTTCCATTTCACGAATTTCAGGTCCTCTGTTCAAACTGGATTAAACTGCCAAAAATACTCACCATCGTTCCTCCTTTACGAGCAGCAAATACCACACATGGAGTCACCAGATTCACCATTAAAGCTGGAGTCACCATCTTTTTTGTTTGAAAGTTATCGATCCCCCAACTTACTCTACGCAGTTTTGTGTTCTGATTATCTCCAATCATATAATATTTTTATTTTAAATATTTAAGAAAAATGAGTTCTTGATATTCCAAGATGCTTGAGGAGTTCTAAGAGTATAAAACATTAAATTCATTGAACTTTTGAAAAAACTGTCCAAAACTAGACATAATACATGAACATTGGCGCATATGCACTAATGCTCATAATAATTTTTTCTAACATAAAAGCTTTTTATGAGACATGGCTTTTTCCTTTATTTCTTTTTTGCCCTTCAATTCTGAAACCCATCGTCTGATAGATCGAATTTTGGGCCCGGGCCAAGCCCGTTCTCTTAAGGATGGGCCCTTATCTTAAGGCCCAGGCCCAGACGGACCCAGAAGTAGGCCGGTACACTGGCCCGGGAATAGGCTCTCATAAACTACACACGGATCATTCAAAAACTTCACGAAGCTTTGGACGATTTATAAATTATGAGCTCAGCTGCCCACACTCAAACAACAGCTTTATCGATAGTCAAAACATTGACCGTATCAACTGAGGAACCCGCCCTATGTCAACGCTCCAATAGAGAACAGACAAGATTTGAAAGCTGGGTCCACCTCCCGAGCCACTGCAAGATTTGAAAGGGGGCGGGGTTACTGTCAGTCAGCCTTCGGATTCTAAACAGAGGGTTCTAATCTGCATTCACCATGATCTTTTTACCTGCACATAAGAAGGCTAGGTACCTAACTAGGGAACCCTGCCGAGGGGAAGGATGAGATCATTTTACCTGCATAGACTCCTACTCCGCTGCAGTCACTTGGGCGGCGCTGAGAATCTGCGAATGCCCCTTCGGCAGAAGATCTCTAGTTCTGTCTTGCAGAGAACGGACGGAGATGGAGGCTTGACTAACAAACACTGGTTGATTATACATTGAAGAGAGAGCATTGGAGTACAAGACGGATGAATCTGATATAAAATATCGGGTGTTCATAATCTACCAAAAAACTCGCTCCTGATATTTTTATATCGAGAGAAATCCAACAATATGACCTATACATTCCAAAGTTTGTGGAAGAAGATTTCCTGGGATTTTATCAGATGCAGGCATAATTCCAGCTGAATAAACCAGCCAGATCTGACTGACAACCGGACATAAGAAATCACCCCATGCGCCCCCCCCCGCCCCCCCTCCCCACTGTTCTACAAGATTATTTAATACGGAGGAGAAGAAAAGCAATTAAGGGGATTAAAAAGATCCCTCCTTCTGGTTTCATTTTTGTTCTAAGAGCTTTCTCCACGCACTACTCAGCAAGAGCGAGAGAGAAATCTCACCTTTCGCAGGCAAAACCTGCTACCAGACACCTGCAGAGGCAGGGCATCCACAAACGACATGGTCTACAGCAAACGCCCCTGAAACACCAAGACTCTTTAGGATTCTTCTATCAACATAGAAAACCAGGGCAGCAATTGAAAAACTACATCATTCATCAATGAGCAGAAATATTCTACTCATTGAGCACAATAGTTGGGCATTCATGAAACTGCAAATTGTTGGGCAGGTTATTGATGGCACACCATAGCCTTCTCGATGGAAGAATCTAGCATCTGCAGGCAGAGATTGGTGGCCAGGGGCGGCAAGGCACAAGCAATGTAGGCGAAAATCAGTGGCCAAGGAAGGCAAGTCACGAGCAATGCAAGCAAAAATCAGTGGCCAAGGGCGGCAAGGCACGAGCAATGCAGGCAGTCATGGTTTGCTTGATCTCAGAGGACCACCAGTCTTTCAAACTAACTTTGCTAGGTGATAAGTCTTTAGATCTCCTTATGAAGTTCAGAGATTAATGAAATGGGTCGTCGAATCATCTCTGGCAGCTGTCACCTGACGGAGCAGAAAAATAATGACTTTACAACTCTCTAACACTGTCACTCGACAGAGAAGAGCTGGATGGAGGTGCGGCGAATGTTAATGATCTTCATCCTCAGGTCCACGTGGCAAGAGGAGGCTCTTCATCACATCCAGTATGCTCTCAAGAGGTGGTGACTCGTCTCCTGATGGATTGTTTTCTTCTTGACAACAACATATTTGTCGATCAATTATAGATGATTTAATCTTTTAATTTGCAATCCTTTTATTGCAAACGTTTAACAATTTTAATAACAATATTTTACAAATCATGTTGATGAGATTTTTATTGATGATCCAACAATTTTGGTGACATAATCGTTCATTGATGATTTGCAAGAAAGTCACGATAATCAGATAAAAATATGAGTTTTGGCTTTGAGAGGATTTGAACTCGCACTGGTTGTCTACCTATATGAGAGAAATTAAAATAAATACTTTAATACCCTTATTAAGTGACATCATCATGGTATATCTCTATTATAACTAAGGGGTAGTTAAGTATTAAAATCTTCAAAGCTTTTTAAGGAAAAGTGTGACATGTGTGACGTGACTTACTATATAATGACTAAATCACATCAAATTTTGGCATCATTGCCAGAGATGTATTACATAATATTTAGTATTTTTTTATTTTTCTCTTAGAGTACACAAAAAATTGAACTATTATTTTATTTTCTTCTTGTCGAATTTTTTTAAAAAAAAGAATGAAGAGAAGCAAGGCAAAAACTAGAGCATATTGAAGAATGGTAACAATTACTAAAAATTTTCCTCAAATTTATTGATTTTTTATGCATAGTAGAAAATCATTGCATCTAAGGCTAGAAAATCTTTTCATTATTTCATTCAAAACTAAAAATCTAAAAAAAATAAATTTGATGGATCCTAAATGAAGTACAAGTTAAACTAAGAACAATCCCATGGCCATAAAAAATTATTATATCTCTAATTCATTTCAAAGAGTATCTAATATTTGAGTCCCATTAGCACCCACTGTTAAATTTGAATTAAATCTAGAAAATTTTCAAATACTCCTTAATTTTCATGGATTGTCTTTAGAAGAACCTCATCAGCACTTAAAAAAATTTCATATGGTCTGTGATATAGTTAATCTCCCTCAAGTTACACTGAAAATTATTAAGATGAAATTATGCCCTCATACACTTAGGGACAAAGTTAACCATTAGCTATCCACATTAGATAGAGAATTAACTAGTTGGAAAGATATAGAACAGACTTTTCTTCGAAAATTTTATCTCTTAGTAAAAACTCAAAATATAAAAAAACATATATGGAGTTCTTCTTAAAGATCAGGAGAAACTGTACATGAGACATGAAAAAAATTCAAAGATTTACTTAGAAAGTGTCTTCATCATGTTATATCCAAGTGGCAGCTCAATAGAAATTTTTATAATAGATTATTAGAACAACATAGAAATATAGTTGATTCTATATGTGGAAGAACTTTTATAAAAAAAACTCCTAATAAGATTTATAGTCTTTATGAGAATTTAAGTAAAAATTCTAAAAATCAAGCCTCTTTTGAATTATATGACAAGGATAAGAAAAGAAGAACTTATGAATTGCATCATGATGATGATTCTAATTTAAGAAATGAGGTTAATAAGATTAATCAAAGATTATAAAAACTTAATTTACTTATTGAGAATATTAGAAAACCTCCTAACCTTTAATTAAATGTATATAATGCATGTCTTATGTAAGATGAAAATGATCATTTCAAATTTCAATATTATAATTTAGAACAATCATTTCATCCTAGGCAAGAACAAGTGCAAGTACCCCATGATTTTAGTAAAAATAAGAAATAATTTTCTAATTCTTATAATCCTAATTGGGGGAATAATTTTTCATGAAGATATTCAAAATCTAAAAGCACTTAGATCCAATTCAAATTTTTAATTTCATCTAAAATAGGAACACAAATTTCAGAAAAATCAGCTCTTTCAAATCCAACTTGATGCTATGGGAATGATATAGCAAATGAGCCACCTAATGCAACAAACTATGAATCAAATGATGATACACGAAAAACAAATTATAGAGGCTTTTGAGAATAAAAGAGAAGAGGGACAGCCACCTAGTCAACCTAGAGAAAATTCAAGAAACTATCCAATATTTAAATTTTAGCTAGGAGAGTCTAGCTAGATAAATTTTTAAAAAAACCTACGAAATGAAAATGTTAGGATAGTGAATACCTTAACTGAATATTTTACCTG